CCTTAGGAGGTGAGGGGGGGGGGGGGTAGGGGGCGTGGTTTGGAGGGAAGGACTGTTACCCACACAATACACTACAGCTCAGCTCCAGCCAAAGGTTCTCACCAGGGTGGCCAGATCTTCTATTTCAAAAAGAAGTTAAAAGCCAGCTATTCCTGTGAAACAACCAGACTGAAAAATTTACAACTAACTTAAAAGTTTAAAATATACCCATAGGCTAAACAAACAGGTCTGGAAGCTAAGCCCAGGCTCACAGAGCTCCAAGCATGCAACCTCTGGACAGAAATATACAAACTCCAGAGCATTGAGCATAAAGTAACCAAGACATGGTTTAATGAAAATGGGTTCCATCAGAATCTACATTTGTGCATCCTGCTTATGAGAAGGTCTAAACCTATCCACTGCTAGTTTAATGCACGGCATTGTCTTTTGGTTTTACACAGGTAGGTGTACCAAGCATGGCCTGCAGGCCCAAATTTTGTAAAATTGTGTCTTTTTATGAATTTACCTTACCACTGTATGGGTGCCTTATTCTTGTTTTGGAGTGATTTCCAATTGGCACCGGCCACTTTTTATCGTTCCCTGGCCTTTCTGCTTATTTTAAAGGAAAACAGAGCAAACCCTCTGGGGAGAAATCCTTAGTTTCAGTAAGCACTTTGTGCAGCATCTGCTTTCTAATAATTGCATTTGGAGATTTTGTTAAGTGGAACTTCTCTGTACTAAAGCGTTAGAGCTGCTCTGTTTTCCCGCAGAAATGATCCATGTCTGTCTGTTTTGCACAGATAGAAACACACACACACACACAAAGACCAGATGATGTGTGATTTATCTCATATAAGCACAATATATACACTTTGAAACAGTAAATTTAGAAAAATGAATCGGGTTTTCATCACTGCTGTTATTTCGTGATTTTATAATGTTACTTTATTGTAGAATGACTATGGATTAGCCAATAAGTTTTTGCTGTTCTTTATATTTCCACAGTCTAATCTCCGTTCTACCCATATTGGCATTTTGGGGCATATTTTCATGTTTATTTTTATGGCAGAGTTAAAAAGACACCTCTGCCTCTGAGCCTTTGTTTTTGCAACGTGAACCCATTTATTTCATGTCATCAAGCGAAGCGATGTTAATCGACCAAAGCAGAAACCATCATCAGATCGAGTTAAGCTAATGTCATCAGTTTAACGCGGTAGAGACCCACAAGCATCAGTGTGAATGGATTAAAAAGGCACTTACAAGGATGACCCGCAAAGAGTCCTAGTTTCAAGAACCAACAAAAAGCCTCCAGGAAGTGAAGCCGGCAGGTTCTAATCTCATTTATTTTCATGGCTGTTTTTTAATTGTAGTTTTCCACTGTAAAACCAAAGAGCATCAAAGGAGTCTGCTGGATTTGTGAGAAGAAAAGCCTCCCCTTTCCCGGAAGTCTGACGGAGCCGAGTTCCCGG